CCTTTCTCAGGCCATCACCGACCCCTGCCAGATGGGACCCCACACTGAGCAGGACCCTACAGCACAGCCAGGCGCCCCCACATCACCACCTCACTCTGACCCTGAAGCAGCCATGTGACAGCAGAGGGGACCGTGGGAGCCCTGACCACCCCCAGCACCCCACACCCACCTCCTCTCGTGCAGCTCCACTCGCCCGTCGGCCGTGGACAGCCTCTCTGACTCGGGGCTGTTGACCCTCCGGTAGCGCAGAGAACGCACTGGGGTTGTGGGGGAGTCTGGGGGTGCACGCACCGGGGAACTGGGGACCCCCACGCCTCGGCTCTGCTCCTCATCCACACAGGGGGTCTGCAGGAGGGGTGCCATGGGTCAGGAGGTTGCTCAGGGACCTCTGGCTGGGGAGAAGGTGCCTGGGAGGAATGGGTGAGGGCTGAGGGCTGGGAATCAGGAGAGGAGGCCTGAGCCCTTTTCCCTGGCTCAATTACTTTGCCGATGTTGATCCGGAGTTTGTTGCGGTTGACATCCGTTTCCTCCCAGACTTCAGCCTCAGGGCCCCCAGGGTGGGGGGCGAGGTGGGGGCCGGGGCCCTGCCCTTCGGGGGGCCTCCCGGGCAGGATGGGGGGTGCGTTCTCCTGGTCGCTCAGGTGCTCTCCCTGGAGCACGTCCTCTGTATTCTCCCGCAGCAGGTCCCCAGGCACAGGTGTCACGTTGACCACTCTGGAGAGGCCAGTTGGGGGTGAGGAGCAGGGCTGGCCAGGGGTCCCCCTGCTCCCGAGACCTCTCCCACAACAGCAGGCCCTGGAGGCCACCCGAGTGGGCACAGAGGATGCTCCAGGCAGCAGGTATAGTGTCCTGGGCCCAGCACTGGCCCACAAGGCCTCTGAGACCAGATGCATCCCCACCTCACTCTATTTCCTCAGTGCACCCAGATTCCAGTGCCATGGGCACCTAGGTCCCTTAGACCCAAGACTGAGTCTAGAAGGAAGAGCCACTTTGGACTCGTTAAGCAGCCTCCTTACGGACCCAGGCACGATGGCAAGTCCTGCGGAGCCTCTTGATGTGACCCCGGGCTGGGTGCAAAGCTCCTTCCTAGGCCACCTTGGTCTCAGTGCTTGTCACATGACTGCAGTGGCCTCAGGACACTAATGAGGGACTCTGGGCTTGGGTTATTCATTCACTAAGGGCTTCTTGCTCCTCAGTAGGACCACAAGCTCCAAAAGAGCACTCACCCACCCCACATGGAGCTGCGGCACAACCTCCCAAGTTCCAGAACCCTGTGGTCAAGCACCTAATGAGGTGGAGGAGGCCAAACACATCCCGGTGCAGGAGGACAAGGCAGCCTCCCACTGCTATCACTCTGAGACTCACCCAAACATGGCTGCCGTCTGCCGGGTATTCTGCTGCGGTGGGGTGGAGGTGCTCGTGGACAGCAGGGTGTCGGTGCCCGCCTTCTCCCAGTCGAAAGCCTCGTTCTCAGCAATGCCCCGCTCCTTCATGCTGTTCTCAAACACCGACATGATCAACTGCAGGGGCAGGGTGGGGGAGGACAGAGAGGTGACCCCAGAGCTGGCCAGGTGCAAAGGGAGGTGCAGGGACTGCAGGAGGAAGGGAAGGGAGGAGCCTTCCAGGATGCGGCATTGGAAGAACAAGGGCACATTGATTTTAAGTGAAAACATGCACAAAATATGCAAATCAGCATGCAAATTAACATCTTGGATTAAGCCACACCAGCTGGACACGGGGCCTCTGAAATCAGTCCCTTGAATACCATCCTCAAACTCCTGTGTCATTCCACCATCTCAGCAGGAAGCCCCGGCACTCCCTGTGGGACATGCCCTTGGAGGGCAGCCTCCTCTCCTCTCTGATGCCCAACCCCCAGCCTCCCTCCCTACATGGGGCAGTTCCTTCCTCCAATTCTACCTCCTGAGCAGCCCACTCAGGGCTCAGTGTGGGAGGCAAATGCAGTGGCATGGCCTGGGGGACTGGGGCTCTGGGTCCAGGAGGCAGCAAGCAGCTACAGACCCTTCAGGGCCCCCGGAATTTCTTCCATCAGGCCTGGCTTTTCCATTTGGACCCACCTTCTAAGCACCTGCTGGGTGCCTGATTCCCTCTGTGGCCCCCACAGTGTGCAGACTGTGCTGGCCCACAGCAGATTCCTAGGGGGACATGGTTGACCAGTCCCCTGTTCTCCAGTCAGTCACTGAGTCCCCAGGGGCACAGTGACAAAGCCTCAGAAGGAGAACTGGGCCTGGAAGTTAGAGGCACAGGTGCGCACTGTAACGAGGTCTTGGTCATCAAAGCATACATGGCAGTGGTCTCCTAAGACTAGCGTGGAGGTGAAAGATTCCTATTGCCGGCTCACACCTTGGCTACGGTAAAGAGGTGGAGCAGCTCAGCATGCTGCTGCTGGTGTGAACAAACCTACCACGCTGCCAGTCACTGAAGAGCACAGCACCCTCTCCCCGGGGTGGGGCGCACCTCGTGCTACACAGCCGCTCACACAGCTCCTGCCTGCTTGTGTCCTTTCCTGTCAGGCGTCATGGCTCTACGAGTAGTGTGTTACAACATGTGACACGTGTGCTACAGCCTGTGCATGCGCAGCACGGCCCATGTGTGCAGCAGCCTTGTCTCAGTGAATACATGAATGAGCCCTGTGATGTTCGCGCAGCAGTGACTTCAACGTAATCTCCTGAAGTGACGCATGATGTCCCTGAGCCAGCCCTGCTCTTAATCATGATATCACACCTCAGTTTCCCCATCTGTGAAATAAGAACAATCACCCCCACTTGGCCTCTACAGGAATGCATTTGACTTCAGGAATTTTTTTTCTTTTGAGACTCTGTCTCAAAAGAAGTAGCCCAGGCTGGCCTAGAACTCATAATTCTCCTGCCTCAGCCTCCTGAATGATTATAGGCATGCTCCATCATGCCCAGTTTGACTTTAGGAATTAAGCATCAGAATGATAATACAGGGAACACTCATCATCAAAGGCTTCTTTTGAAGCTTGAATGAATTAACTTGAGGAATACACTGAGAACAGGGTCGACTGTTGATAAATCTTAGCTGGGGCTCCCATTTAAAAGGCCACAGGAAAAGGTAATAAGGGAGAGGAAAAAAATATGAGAAACTGAAAAAATGGAAATAAAGTTTTTGTGAATGGGGAGGGGAGGAGGGGGTGGAGGGAGGGCAGGGACAAGGGGAAAAATGAGAATCAAGACCTATTATGTAAAGGTACAGAATCCCAATGATGAATGTAATTGTATTGTATACCTAGATTGTACCAATAACCTCAATAAAAAAGGAAAAAAATAAAATAAAAATAAAATAAAAGGCCACAGGAAAGCCTGGGGATTTAGATCAGTGGTTCTGCCACTGCTTCCCAAGCACAACGACTTAAATTCAATCCCCGGTACTGGAAAAAGAAAAAAAAAAAAGTCACAGAAGAATCTGGTACAGTTAGAAGACAAGGAGAAGCTGGGTATGGTGGTATACACCTTTAACCCAGTACTCCGGGAGTCTGAGGCAAGACGGCAGGTTCAAGCCTAGCCTGAGCAATTTAGGAACTTAGCAAGATCCTGTCTCAAAAGAAAACATTAGCCAGGGATTTAGCTCAGTGGTTCCACCACCTGCCTCAAAAGCACAAGGTCCCAAGTTCAATCTCTGGTACAAAAAAAAAAAAAAAAAAAGGAAAGAAAAGAAAAGAAAACATTTTTTAAAAAATGAGAGGCGCCAGGTGTGGTGCCGCATGCCTGTAATCCCAGCACTCGGGGAGGCTGGGGCAGAAGGATTGCTTCGAGTTCGAGACCAGCCTGGGCTACACACAGTGAGTTCCAGAGCAGTATGAACTACATAGTGAGACACTGTCTCAAAAAACAAAAACAAGACAAAACAAAAAAATGAGAGGGCCTGGGGCTGCAGCTCAGTGTGCAGACCTGGAGTTCAGTCCCCAAAACCACAGAAAAGAAAAAACAAAAATGAAGACAGGGGAGATGTAGAGGGCAATGAGGCAGGACACTGGGCCTTGGCAGGAGCAGGCACGGGGGTGGGTGCAGGTTCCCACCTGGTAGTCAGGCTTGGTGAAGTAGTCGAGGCTGGCAATGTGGTCCAGGAAGAGGTGGAACTCCGAGGGCATGTGCTTCAGCAGCACCCGGTGCTCATACTTCTCCTTGATCATCCCCACCTGCTCCTGCGGGCAGAGTGTGGCAGTACAGCCCAGCCGCTCCCACCATCCCCTTGGCCCAGCAGGGAGGAGGGACCTCACCTTGTCCTTGATCTTCCTCCAGGGCAGCTGGCCCACTGCGAACTCCACCAGCATATAGAAGAGGGACCACAGGTCATCGTGGCGGCCCATCTCCTGGGGGCGGAGAGGGACGTCTATCAGGGAGGCCCCGTATCCAGCCCCGAATGGCAAAGCTGGGGTCCCCATGAGGCATCAGCTCCATCTCTGACCCTCAAATGTTTGGAATCTCGTACTCAAAACGTCTCTGTGCTTTGTCACCACACAGTGACTGCTGTGAAGAACAAAGAGGAGGCCAAAGGGAGCCCTCTTCCCTCCTTCCAGCCGTGAGATGAGCTGCACGCCCACCACCACCTCATCCAGTCTGACTGTCCAACCTTTCGTCCAGGCTCTGCCACTCACCCGGTTCTTGTGGGCATTGACGGAGGCGTAGCGCACAGTCCCTCGAAACCCGGCCACGTTCCGAGGCTGCCGAAGAGACACCACCAGGCACATCACCCACTGCGCCTGACCCCAGCCACATCTCGGCCCTGCTCCCAAGCCCAGCTCTGCCCTCTGACACCCAGGCCTACACCTGTTCACTGCCCACCATGGGCTGGAAGAAGTTCCCAACTGTGGATGTGGGGGTGTTGGTACTGAAGACCAGGCCAGGCCAGCTTAGGCGGCCGCAGGAGCAGCCGAGGACAGTCCCACCCCTGCAGCGGTACTCACGGGCCGGACGTCTCCCGTGGTGTTGGTGTACTGCCGGGCCAGCCCAAAGTCCAGCATGTAGCACTTCCTGTACGTGGAGGGCAGCCTGCCCATGGCGAAGTTCGACTGCGGGGACAACCGCCGTGAGCCCTTGCCAGGTTCAAGGACTGCCCAGGTAGGGGTGAGGGCTGCAGAAGGAACCACGGAGAGGCACAGAGGGCGGCAGGGGGTGGACCAGGGGACATCAGGGAGAGGAGGGCTGGGCAGCACAGCGCTCACTCACTCACCGGCTTGATGTCTCGGTGCAGGAAGCCCACCGAGTGGATGGCCTCGATGGACTCCAGGATCTGCTTGCCCAGCCGCAAGGTAGTACTCAGGGTGAAGGTGCCCCGAGGCTGGCTGCGGCGCAGGTCAGCCAGGTTCCGGCCCTGGGAGCAGGTGGCAGGGGTCCCACATCCTGTGACACCAGCCCTGACCCCAGGTGTGTGCCCACCTCCGCTCCTCCCATCCCGGCAGCCCTACCCCGAGCCTGAAGCCCAGCCCAGCTGGAAGGGACGCACCTGCAGCTGCATCACCACATAGTTGAACTTCTCGTTCCTGCCACAGCCGATGAACCTGCACACGTGGTCCTTGCCTGGGGACACAGATGGGGCCTCCCAGGGCCTGCTTCTCCTCTCCAGCTCCTGGAAGCTCCTGGCCACTCTGGTCCTGGGTACCCACGTGCTCCACCTGCCCTCGGCCCTATCATCTCTCTATCACTCAATGAGTGACATCCCCACTTCACTCTGCTACCACCCACAGGGCCTCCCAGCTTCTCCAGCCCTGGCTCCGTTGCCTCCTCCCTCCCATCCTTCCAGGCCTGTACCTTGAAGCTTTTTGAGCACAGCGACCTCCATCTTGAGGACTTGCTTGGGCTGCTGGGCCGACTCCACTTTCAGGGCCACATTCTCCCTGGTCAGCAGGTCCATGGCCTCGTAGATCTCACCAAAGCCCCCGCCTCCTATCTTTTTCAGCTACGGAGATGGGGGAAGGGGTGCTCAGGGTCAGGCTGAATCCATCTTCAGCCAGCCCCCATGGGTGGCATCCTCGCTGATGGGAACAACAGGGTCCTCAGAGGGGAGGACACTAGAGTCCTTGCTGTGTCCCGTCGGTACACCCAGATGCTCAGGCGTGCCCTGTTCTAGGGCCTGACACACACAAACTCCACACACACATGCATACACATGCAAGACCAGATGTCAGAGGCAGCCAGACACTTTGAATACGTGAGGACATGGAGGTAGACTGGCTGTGTGAGATCCTAGACATCAGGGCTGTCCCAGACCTTTCCTTCTCTAGAAGGACAATACCATCACACTCCCCCAGCCCCCCAGACAAAGCAACTCCCATCCAGAAATAAACTGATCCCAGGACCTCTTAGCCAGAGAGCCACACTTCCTGGGGCTGGCAGGCTCCTGAAATATGTCCCCTGAGGGAAAAAGTAGTTGGGGGAGGGGACTCAGCAGAGGCTGTCCACAGCCCACGCCCACCGCTGATACATTCTGCCCCTGGTCACAGGCCCAGAACCGAGGCGACTTCCTCCCCAGGGTGGGGGCACAGTGGAGAGAGTGGGCACTCTTCTCATTAGAGAAGAGTGGAACAGCAATCTGACCCTCTGGGTCTCCTATCAGCCTCCTCGAAGCAGAGAGAAGGAGAGGGGGCAGGCAGGGGGATAAGCAAAGTGAGTTATGGGGAGGGATCAGAGCTCATTTCAACCTGGAGGTCCAGAAGGGTTGGAGGGTGGGGATACAGGTTGGCAGTGACTGGGGAGCAGAAGAACGTCCTGAGTTCTAAGTCTGATTTAAGAAGGGGAGCGGAAGTGCTGATTTAAGAAAGCTACAGCATAGCCCGGTATGGTGCATACCTGTAATCTCAGCACTGGGGAGGCTGAGGCAGGAGGAGTGCACGTTCAAGCCCAGTCTGGGCAACCCTGTCTCAAAATAAATAATGAAAATGGGCTGGAATGGGGCTCAGTGTGAAGGCAGCAGTGACGGACTGGGAGTTCTAGTAGGTGACAATGGCAATCAGGCTAGAGAGAGAAGGGTGAAGGGAAGATGCAGCTGAGAAGCCAAAGGCTGGGTGGGAACACGAAGGTCCCTGTGCCCAGGAGGAAACAGGGAAAGAAGGAGGAAGCATCTTTCTAGTAGTAATGGGAGTTACTACCGCAAGGGTTTCAGGGCCAGGAGGGACAGACGTGACTCTAGGGAGACAGTGTCCATCTTTCTTGGGGAGCTCTAAACTCAGGGGAGCCACTAATGTCTTGAAATCCCTGAGCTGTGCTGTTGTTTGAGAGAGAGAGAGAGAGAGAGAGAGAGAGAGAGAGAGAGAGAGGGAGAGAG